GCCCCGGCCCCCCAGGCCCCACTGGCGGAAGCCGGGAGGCGGGCGGACCCCACCGAGGACAGGGTGCCACCGTGAGGACGGAACGGCCCAGCAGCTCGGTCACTTGGGCTGGTCAGCCCAGCCTCCTCCTGGGAACGCGCCCCCGGTGAGGGCCAGGGGCTTGCTCTGCGCACCTGGCGGGCGGAGGGCGAGAGGCATTTGGCTGGGGTGGAAGCCTGGCTCCTCTGCCTCCCGGCCGGGTAGCCGGCTGCTTGGGCAGCACCACTCTCGCTGATCCTCAGTTTCCCCACCGCTTGAGTGGGACGGGCTCCTGTGGGCGTGGCGGAGCCTGTGGCTGCGCTGGCGTGCGGGAGCCACTCGGCAGTGCCACAGGTCGACACCGGCCCGTTGGGGAGCCTCAGCTCTGCACCCCTCGGCCCTCCGGCACACACCGAGTCCAGCACAGCTTTGACTTTGGCTGCGGCGGAGCAGTCGCCCAGCTCGCCGTGCCACGTCGTCCGCGCGTCCCGGAGAGGAGATGAGGGTGTTTCTCGGCCGCCCCATTCTGACCCCGAGTGTGCCCTGGGCACCAGGCTCTGTGGCTGGTGCGTGGGCCCGTGGGTAGTGGGCCAGGGTCTGGCCACGAAGGCGGGCTACCGTGTGTGCACACACCCAAGCAAGAGGCAGAGACCTGCAGGGATCTGAGTTGGAGCCGTCCGCAGGAGGGATGGATTATTGGGGTGTTGACCGTAGGACACAGGGAAGAGAACCTCATCTGCAGAGGGGGAAGCCTGAGGAATGGAAAACCTGAGAGACTGGAGCAAAGCCGAACGTTGGCCAAAAGCCTGGAGAGCCAGTACATGTGCACAGACTTTCTAGAAACGTGCGGAAGTGTGGGGTTAGCAATGCCATTATCACACTCTCAGTTGCACAGCAACCAGGGACCGTGTTCTCCAGGACAAACTAACAAACACATACTAATGATTAGTCTTTTACCTAATAAATAATGCATATCCTCATTACAGACAACACAGGCTTTTAAAATGACATTGACTAAAAAGCACATGATGAAACTGACATTTTTATATTTGTCTCAGGAAAGTGGGCTCACTGGAAACAGTGGCCGCGCGCGAGCATTCGTGGTGGTGCTTGCTCAGTCCCCAGAATCTCCTGTGGACGAAACATGGCTGGAGAGTTACACTGGTGTGATGAACATAATTTCATCCAAATGAAAATGAAAATTGATAAAGTCGTTTGTAAACCATTTGAATGAACAAAAAAGAAAACTGGCCAGGAATTAAATTGGCTTGATAAAATTCACTCTTGAAAATACTTTCTCAACAAAAAATTAATGCTGCATAGTTCTGATGAAAAGTTGCATATTCACGGGGCACAGAGTTATTAATAGAATGTCCAAACTGGCAAGACCACAGATACAAACAGGGACGCCAACAGGCCTTGACTGGAGTGGACGCAGCATCCTACGACGCAAGGTGCTGAAGCTCCGGTGTCACCACGTTGGACAGATGCTGAGATTCACCCGCTCTATGGCCTTTAGAATATATTTTGATTCTCTAAAGTGTTAATTAGTTTATCGACTACTATTTGCAGATTTTCATCTGTTCATTTTTGCTTTTTAAAATCGTCAAATGCAATATACACATAGAAAAGTGCATGAAAACACATGCACAGCACTTATGGTAAATAATTATAAATAATTCTAATATTTATAAAGTGAACACTGGCAGTTATAAATCACCTCTCCTTGCCACTCTATAGCCAGCAAGGCCAGTACACCAGAACCTCCCTGTGCCTCCCTGGAAACTCCTGTAAATGGGACTTCCAGCCTCCAGGACTGTGAGAAATACATTCCTGTTGCTTAAGCCCCAGTCTACAGCACTTTGCCGTGGAAGCCCAAGATCACTAACACGCCCCGGCTGGCTTTGCTTTATTATTTTACTACCTAATACAAATGCCTAAATAATAGACTTTGTCTTGCCAAGTTTTTAACTTTATGAAAAATACAATTACACTGTATGTATTGTGTCTTTCTTTGGTAATTGGCGCATATGACTCTGGAATATAACTATTGTTTGTTTTTATCATTGCTGGGTTGTATCCATTTATGAATATTCCAGAATTTATTCATTCATTCTACAGTTGATGAATATTTATGTACTGCTTTTCTGCTGTGAAACAAGTTACTCCAAAGGTAGCAGCTTAAAATGACGCACGTTTATTATCTCACAGTTTCCACGTGTCAGGAGCTGGGACGGCTTGGCTGCATCAGGGCGTTGGCTGGGCTCTGTCTCCTCTGGGGTCCCCAGGGAAGGATCCACTTCCAAGGTCATGCAGCTGGTTGACAGAATTCATCTCCTGTGGCTGTAGGACTGAGCGCCTGGCTTCTAGCAGCCGATGATGGCTAGATACATGGTCCGGTTCCTAGCGGCTGCCCCAGGTCCCGCCAGGAGCTGCTCCAGCCCCACCTCACAGCCGGCTGTTTCCTGCTTCAAGACCGGCAGGAGAACCTCTCACTCTGTGAACACAAAGTCTCACCTGACCACGCAACCACAGAGCACCATCCTGGCCTGTGCCATATTCTGTTGGTTAGAGGCAAGTTCTGCCTGAGGGGAAGGGCATGCTACAGTCCCCTCATCGGGGTGACTTTGGGGTGTGCTCACCTCGGGCTGTTTACATTTGCAGGGTATGGTAAATCACGCTGCTCTAAACATTCTTATGTGTCTATTTTGGTGCATGTATGTCGGGTTTTGTTCCTATTGGGGTGTATCAGGACTCTGCAGTGAGATAAAAGCAGTGGATGGATGGATGGATGATAGATAGATGATTGATTGATAGACAGATGATAGATGGATGATAGATAGATAGGTCACTGACAGACAGACGGCCAAGAGGGCGTTTATCAGGGGAGTTGGCTCATGAGATCATGGAGGCTGGGAAGCCCCTCGGCAGGCCATCTGTGTGCCAGAGACCCTGGGATGTGGCTGGCGAGGCTCAGCTCAGAACCAGGGACGTTGATGGTATAATTCTCAGTCCATGGCTGGAGGCCTGAGAACTCGGGAGCCACTGGTGTATGGGCTGCAAATCCACGCAAGAGCAGACTATGAGAATGATTTCTACCAATAGCACTGTCCTTTGCTCAAGGCCAAAGCCTCATAGTCTCCTGGGGTGGTTTATATTCTGACTTTCTGGTAGTTCACCCTTTTGTTGAGAGTATGGCTGTATTAGGTTGTCCAGAGAGATAGAACCAATAGGGTAGATACAGATACACAGATTTAGACACAGATACACGAGAGGGGGTTTATCAGGGGAACTGGCTCTTGCGATTACAGAGGCCGAGAAGTCCATCTGTGCACTGGAGACTCTGGGATGCCGGTAGTGCGGCTCAGTCCAAATAAATCCAAAGGCCTCAGAAACTAGGGACACCGACGGTGTCACTCTTAGTCCGAGGCCTGAGGCCTGAGAAACCAGGGGGAGGCAGGGTGCTGGGGGAGGAGCTGGTCTGAGTCCTGGAGTCCACAGGCTGGGGGCTGGAGTTGTCGTCCAAGGACTGGAGAGGAAGTGTGTGTCCCAGCCCCGTAGATACACCAACATACGTGCCTTTTCCCTGTTTTAGTTCCCTCCAGGCCCCCAGCAGATTGGACGGTGCCCCCCACACCAAGGGCAGAGCTTCCCCACCTGGCCCACTCAGACTCACATGCTACTACTCTCTTCTGGAAACACCCTCACAAACACCCCAACATAATGCTCCACCAGGTTTCCAGGTGTTCCTTAGTCCAAACTGACACCTAAGATCACCCTCACAGGAGCCCTTTGGGGGCTCAGAGTCACGGAGAGAAGTTCGCCTGCTACGTGTTCACCCCGGGCCAGCCTTGCGTTCTCACGCCTACCCCAGTACCTAAATAAAGGTCTCAGCAAATGTCCTCAAGGCGAGAGCAATTTTTGAACTTTGCTTAACACTTTGGGTTCCCATCACCCAGATTTTGGGTTGATGTTTCTTGTTACTTTGTCAGCTCTTTGATGCTCTTTGAAGATGTATTTTAACTATTTTAATCAGCATTTCCAGTTGTTTCCAGAAGAAAGTTTGGTCCAAACGATCTTTGAATGGAACTTTCTTCATCTGCCCTTATTTTTTAAAACTCAACTTTCAAGGCCCTGTGCGTTCATTGTTTAGCACATTCTTGTTAAATGCCCACAACACGCCTGGCACTGTGACTTGTGCTGAGCACTGGGAAACAATGGGGAGTCTGCTGGTTAATTCCATGTGTCAACCGCCCAGATATCTGGTCAAACATTACCCTGGGTATTCTGCCAGGGTGTTTTTGGACGAGATTAAGATTTAAGTCAGTGGACTCTGAATAAAGCAGACGGCCCTCCATCCTGCGGGCGGGCCTCATGCGACCATCTGAAAGCCTCACTAGAGAACGCTGACCTTCCCGGAGAGGGAAGGAAGTCTGCGCGGATAAGCTCTGGCCTCGGCCTGCCAGCCCATCCTGCAGATCTTGTACGTGCACCTTCATAATGGCTGAGCCGGTTCCTGAAAACAAACCTTTCTACGCGCACACAGGCAGCCTGCAGGGGAGATCTCCCCGGAGAGCCCTGGCTGACACAGCGAGCAGCTCTGACCCCGAGCGCCCACGTCCAGCCAGGGGGACGGCCCGCAGAGGTGCGGCCTGGAACAGCCCTGGAGGGGACCGAGGGCGCAGACGGCGGCCAGGACGGAGCAGCGCCTGCGCCCGGGGAGGCGGGGCGGCGGCGGCGGGGCGTCTCGAAGCCTCTCACAGGTGAGGTCCATCGTGGCTAGGGCGAGTTCGCGACCCGCGGGGCGGAGCTCTGCTCACTCTCGCCTTCCCGCCCTCCCGCCGCTCGCCCAATCCCCGCGCTCGACTCTGCAGCCCGGGCCCGCCCCTTCCCGCCGCTCGCCCAATCCCCGCGCTCGACTCTGCGGCCCGGCCCCGCCCCTTCCTGCCGCTCGCCCAGTCCCCGCGCGGGCCCGCGTCCGCCCCGCCCAGCCGTCCCGGCGTCTCTGTCTGGGCCTGAGGCGCGTCCGCGGCCGCGCGGGGAGCAATGGAGGCGCTGCTGAGGCGGGAGCTGGGCTGCGGCTCCGTCAAGGCCACGGGTCATTCGGGGGGCGGGTGCATCAGCCAGGGCCAGAGTTACGACACGGACAGAGGGCGAGTGTTCGTGAAAGTGAATTCCAAGGCGGAGGTCAGGGCCGCCGGGGCGGGCGGCTGCTGGGGTCGGGGTCGTGCTCCGGGTCTGGGCTGGAGTGGGCGTGTGGGCTCTGGGTCTCGGCTGGACTCGGGGTCTGGGCTCGGGTCCACAGGGTCACAGCCTGGGGCCGCGGGGCACAGGTGGCAGGTGGCGACCCTCTCCTCACAGGCTCGGCCACTTGGGCCCCCAGGGTCGGCGGGCCAGGGCTGCAGGGCGCCCGTCCCACGGAGGACCCCCGCGGACCTGCAGCCCACGGGCGGCCTGGCGTCCGCTGCACCGGTTTTCTCCCCCGCGGCAGCGTCTGCGATGGATGCTGTGCGTGGTTTTTCTGCGACTGTCGTGACCACTGTTTTGAGAAAATCCTTTATGTTGGGTGAGCTTTGAACCAGGACAGGCAGAAGCAGCAGCCCGTCTGCGGAGACCAGACCCCTGTCTGAACTGTAAAGATAACGTAGCTACTCCGTTCCGTTTGTTTGGGAACTTCGTCTCAGCGCTGTGGAACGCAGGGTGGGCCTCCCTGCGGAAGCGGTGCGCCTGGTGGTTCGTGTCCCTTCCTTGCCCGGTTGAGCTGGGTCCTTCCAGTGCTCACCTGGAAGGCGCCCCAGTAGGTGCAATTCCGGGCGGTTCCTGCTCAAACAGCACTGAAGGTGCCTAGCCCCGTGCCAAGTAGCACGTATCTCACAGCTTGCCTCTGCTTTTATCCTTTCCTTAGAATTCATTCTTGCAGTTATTTTAATTTTCTTCCCAGAAATGAATCCCACTTTCCCTGATGTGGGATAATCTCACTCTGAAACACTGCTGTACTCTCAAGACAGCCCTCAACTCTGTGCTCTGCAGCGATCGGCTGCATGTCATCGTGTACATTAATTTTATAGCAATTTGTCAGCATTTGTCCTTGACGTTACTCCTACATTGATTTACCCCAGCAGTGCTTACGTAGCAGAGGTGTCCCCCCTCATGCTCCACAGCAGGGCTTCTCTGTTGGTTTGGTTCTTTCCCCCTTTTAAGTGGCATCTATCCTTCTCACATCTTTGTATTTCCACCCCCACCGGCATTTGTAATGATGCAGAATTTGGCGTGGGTTACAGGGGAAGCAAATATTTTCCATTGGCTAAAATCTAACCACTTCGTGATGCTTTTTAAGCATGGTTCTTCCACTGCTGTTTCTTCGAGTTCTTATTTACTTATTTCATCATCAAAGTCCTTTTTCTTTTTGCTGATTTTCCTCATGTAAGTTCCTTCTGGTCCTTTGGTAAATAGTTCCAACAGGCCATTTTCCAGCATGCTTTGGAATGTGCAGTGTGAGGGAGGAAACTGGCCAGATGTTTGCCAGCTGGGTTGGAAATGAGATTCATACGCTTTACCTTCTAGGAGGGAGGACTGTCTTCCAGAGTTTGTGAAGACGACTACCGGGTTGCTCTCGCCTCTGCTGGGGTCCACCTGGCCTCAGTTGTTTTTCCTCTTGATTATTCTCATCTGCTGTTTGCATACATGTGTAACTGGTTTTCTCCCATACTTCTCCCTCGAGTTCTAGATCTTTGTACTACTACACCCCAGCCGATGCTTCCTTTTACCTTGGGCCCCCTCTAGAGGATTAACATTCTTGGCTTTAGTTAGAAACTTAGGGCCACACAGACGCAAATACTTCTGTGAAGAGCCTTGGCCGTGGGCGGGGTTCCCAGTTCCTCCTTCACCTCTCCCTGCGTTTTTCCAGTACTGCCCTTACTTTTCTCTCCACAGCCAGCGCTCTAGTGAAAGTATACCCAGTTGTGTTCCTTTCATTTTCTAAAGACAATGCTTTGAAAATTCTGTTTAGGACACAGTTCTTATCTTCCTTCTTAGTAACTTTCTCTAAGGTAGTGATAATAATACTATTTATAAAGTGTTCAGAATGGACTATGTAAGTGTTAGCTGCTATCTCAGTTAATCATGACAGCAAGCCTATGAAATTGGTACTGTTATTAACCCAGTTTTACAGACGAGGAAACTGAGGCGCAGAGAGTTCAGTAACTTGCCGGGGTCACAGAGTTAGTAACTGTGAGAACAAGGGGAAGAATGTCCGTGGGAGCACTGTTCATCATGGCCCCACACTGGGAGCCGTGTTGGCCATCGGTAGCAGAACGGATGAGTCTATGTTAGAATATCCGCACGGTGGAGCCCTATGCAGCAGGGGGAATGCACACGCATTGTTTACGCACAAGCGTGGCAAATGCGGTGTGGCATGAAGAAGCCAGACGCCAGAAACCGTGTGACTCTGTGTAGAATAATGACAAAGTAAGGGAAATAAATCCCTGGTGGTGAAGGTCAAGGTAGAGGCTACCTGTGGGGAAAAGCGGACAGCGAACGGCGGGGAGAGAAGGTGTTTGGGGATTGTTGTAATACCTGATCTCTTCATTTGGGCCGTGGTTAGTTACACTGTGACAATTTATTGAGTTGGACACTTATGAGTTGTGCACTTTTCTGCATGTACTTCAGTGACATTTCCTTTAAAAAAGAAAAGATATTTTAAAGGTGAAGAGTTACCTAGTGTGGGAAGTTAGGGAAGATTTCTTTGAAAAATTGACACTGATACTAAGTTGAAATATTAAGGCTAGGAAGGAACTGAGTTGGCAAGAGATGGGGGATAGTGTTCCAAGCAGCGGTGGCATGGCTGGTGGAGGCTGTGAGGCTGGAGGAGGAGGGCGCCCTTGGAGGAACTCAAGGAAGGCTGGGAGACAGAGCAAAGGAGTGTCTGTGTGTGTGTGTGTGTGTGTGTAGGGGAGCAGCCTGGGTAGTGATTGTGTGTGTGTGTGTGTGTAGGGGAGCAGTCTGGGTTGTGTGTGTGTGTGTGTAGGGGAGCAGCCTGGGTAGTGTGTGTGTGTGTGTGTGTGTGTGTGTGTGTAAGGGAGCAGTCTGGGTAGTGTGTGTGTGTGTGTGTGTGTGTGTAGGGCAGCAGCCTGGGTAGTGTGTGTGCGTGTGTGTGTGTGTGTGTGTAAGGGAGCAGTCTGGGTAGTGTGTGTGTGTGTGTGTGTGTGTGTAAGGGAGCAATCTGGGTAGTGTGTGCGTGTGTGTGTGTGTAGGGGAGCAGTCTGGGTAGTGCGTGCGTGTGTGTGTGTGTAGGGGAGCAGCCTGGGTAGTGCGTGCGTGTGTGTGTGTGTGTGTGTGTGTGTGTGTAGGGGAGCAGCCTGGGTAGTGCGTGTGTGTGTGTGTGTGTGTAGGGGAGCAGCCTGGGGAGTGCATGTGTGTGCGCGTGCGTGCGTGCGTGTGTGTGTGTGTGTGTGTGTGTGTAGGGGAGCAGCCTGGGTAGTGCATGTGTGTGCGCGTGCGTGCGTGCGTGTGTGTGTGTGTGTGTGTGTGTGTGTGTAGGGCAGCAGCCTGGGGAGTGGCCCCAGATGAGGGTGGGAAAGAGGGCGGGCTATGGTTGTGCAGGAAGCGAGAAGGGTTGCCAGCTTGGGATGTGTCCAGGGTCGGATTTGTCTTCTACAGGCAGCACTGTGGTGTGCTGAGCAGGGAGACCCAGGGGAGGACAGTCGCTGCAGTCCAGGGGACTGGCATGGAGAGGGTGGTCGAGGTGAGGTGGTTTCCAGTGCTGGGCAGGGGGTGGCGTAGAACTTGGTGGTGCATTTAGGTGAAAGTGACCCAGGTTCCTGGCATGCGCAGACAGAGGGCCACTTGCACCTGAGGGGCTGGGAGCGCACGTGTCCTGTCTGCAACAGGGTTGCGGTCGAGGTGTTGGCTGAGGACGCTGAGAGAGGGTGCACAGGCACATTCCGGCTCTGTGCTGGGCACTGCCGGGGCATCAGTCGCCTTCTACTCTCCTCTCCACGGGGAGCCTTTGGATCCACCCACAGCACACAGTTCCATTCCAGCACCAGAAAGCACAAACCCTCTTATTCCTTTACAACGTCAGAACTTAGAGCGTGCTCTGCTGACGAGCACCTTTGAGTAAACTGTCCCTGTGTGTGGAGTCCTCAGTCAGGACGGCCTTGGTTAGAAATTGCAATGCCGGAGGAAGACAGAACCTTCCCAGACGCAACCTGGCTCTCCTTCCACTTCCCCTCCTGTGTTGGTTTTCCGACAGGCCAAAAGAATGTTCGAAGGGGAGATGGCGAGTCTGACTGCCATCCTGAACACAGGCACGGTGAAAGTGCCCAAGCCCATCAAGGTCCTCGACGCGCCGGGAGGTGGGAGCATGCTGGTGATGGAGCATGTGGACATGCGCTATCTGAGCAGGTATTTCTCGGTACTGGCCCCTCTCATTGGCTTTAGTTTTTCACCGGGTGGTTCTTTCATAACCGAACATGGGGCATAATTTTGAAGTGTGATACCAAGAACCCGTGACTGCACACGTCATGGGCTCTGCAAGCCAAAGGCGAGAGGGAGGGGAACCTCAACGTGATGTGCAGGCAGAGGACGCGTGTCTGCTGTTCGCGTGTCGTATGTTTAGTTGCTGACTTCTGCTTTCACAGTTACGCTGCACAGCTTGGAGCCCAGCTGGCAGATTTACACCTCGACAACAAGAAGCTTGGAGAGTCGCTCCTGAAGGAGGCTGGCACAGTGGGTACGGAGCTGTGTGGGCCGTGGGGACGCTGCCTCGAGGGGGGCTTTCTGCCAGTGTGGGCGCAGAGGTGGGGTCGTGCTGCAGCCCTGTGCGGCCAGACCCGCTCCGATGCCAGAGCACAGGAACGTCAGCCCTGAGGCTGCGCGTTTGTTTGCAGCGCAGTGAACCCGCTGAATGTGATTAGCGCAATGTGTGTGTTGTAAATGCATTTGAAAGACAGAGAATCTCTGCCTGGCTTGAAACCCCTTAGTATTATGGTTGCTTTTACCTCTCACTCCCCAGAAGGGAATCTAATCAAAGTTTCTATTGCTTTCTGTTGTCAATGGAAAAGAACCCAAATTCTGGTAGATAATTCAAAGAGGTTTCTTGGGTTATAGGTTGGTTTTATGTATTTTAGAGAGATAGGAATTATATATAAAGTTATAAATCAGTGCATGGAAGGTATATATTAGTCTGACCTGAAAAGCAGGACTCTGAGCAGAGGTTTATATGTCACAGGTAGGTTTAAAAATGTTTTGATTTGTAATTGGTTAAAGAAATGAAGTTTTGTCTAAAGGCTTGGAATATTTTAAGATAAATCTGTTAATCAGAGACAAGCCACTGGACATATACTGAGACTCAAGTGGTCCGCTAAGTAAATTGGTGACCTGCAGGTGTGGTTTAACCTCTGTCTTAGGTAGCCTTGGCCTTGTTAATGATTTTATATCTTATTGTTACAAAGAGTAACTCCAAAAGCGTAACTAGGCCTGTCTGACCTCCCTTCTCCTCATGGCTGCAACTCAGCTTCAGTGTTTGCTTTTTGGGGGGCGCGGGGGATGTGTTCCCCTTGGCCAGGAGGGAATCTATTCAGTTGGCTAGGGGAGCGTAATATTTTATTTTAGTCCACACTATAAAAAGGGAGACCTTGAACCACAGTGTCTTTTCTTCTAAGAACAGTCATACCTGAGGCTCAAAACGACAGCCCTCACGTCTGACCATCTAGAGCTTAGATGGTGTTAGCATCGAGGGAATATTCCAGTATTATACTCCTGGACACTCGGCGATCTGCGTGTAGGCTGAGAGGTAACTGCTAGGCAGACTAGCTGACCTTCAGAAAGCAGAAAGCCAAGAATCTGCCACACAAGGCAGTCCTGTCCCCTCCAGGCTACATGGAGGTCATTTTATTGGGACTTTCTTAGAGCTAAGGGAGCTGCAAAGGATGGAGACCACTTCCAAGCACAACAGTGTGTCTCTTACAAATGGCACTCCATTTTCACGGAAAACCACCCTTTCTGATGGGTTAGGGGCTGGATTTTTTTTTCCTCTCTGTAGAATATCTTCCCCCCCTCTTTTTGACACTGTGTCCACCTCCCCCCACCCTGCCCCAGCATTCTGGTGCCACTTCTGGGAAGCAGTTGGTATCTTTTTTTTTTTTTTTTTTTTTTAACTTGCCACTCTTCCAGGTATTCTGAGGGTTACTTGAGACCAAGGCCCTGTTTGTCTCTGGTGAGGAATGGTATGGTCAGGGCCTGCTGAGGTCAGGCCTCAAGGTGATTCTGATGTCCAAGCGTGGGGGCTGCAGTCTCTTGGAGCAAGGGAGCTAACTAGTTGTTTCCTTTTGCTTGCAAGGGAGAGGAGGCGGGCGCGCGGAACGGCCCTTCGTGGACCAGTTTGGGTTTGACGTGGTGACGTGCTGTGGATACCTTCCCCAGGTGGGTGATTTCACAACCAGGTCAGCCATTTAGACATAGCGGGGGGAAGCACAGCCCCTTCCTTTTCTGTGAGATTTAGTAAAGGTGTTTGCACCCATTTTTCTTTGCTAATTTTTAAGAGGTTGACATGAGGTTTACCCACCTTCCATGCTAGGTAAGCATGGGGAAAGAGAAGGACCAGCAAGGTAGGCTGCTGGATTTCAAGGTAGGTAAAAATTAGAAAATTTAAAAGAGTTTTATTTTAAATATACTAAACTCTCAAAGGTAGCATACTGACGAGGGATTGTAACTTTCAGTTTTATGATTTTATGGTTGGCTCCCCTGGGAATTTCGGCCTGGGGCTTCTGCTTGATGCCCCGCAAGTGTGGCTTGGGCAGGCGACAGTTCTGCTCTTAGGAAAGCAGCCTGGCTCCCTGGGAGGGGTACTGACGAATCTAGAAAAGTTTCAGGGGTTTCCTGGCGTGCATGGGGCAGTAGGCGCTCTTCAGATTTTGCAACGTTGTAGCAGGTTGTCCAGAAACCTGCCTGGGGGCCGTGAGTGGCACTCTCTTGTCCTGCCTGCTCCAGGGGCTGTTCAGCCAGCTCCACCCCTTCTCCTGCCTGTACTCATTGTGTGCACGTGTGTGTGCATGTGTGCACATGTGTGTGTGTGTGTGTGTGAGATACTCTTTTCTGGCATCACTTCCTGCTTGCTCTGTGTGCTACTCTACTCCTGGTGCCTGTCTCGCGTCCCTCCTGGATGGTGCACACGTGTGGCCTGGATGTCCTCTCTCAGGGCTCCACATGATTCTCACATCATCCTCTCTGGAGAGGGTTGTTCGTGGCCGGGCAGGTGGTCAGAAATGGACCATGAGGTCAGGGGAGGTCAGCTGGCTCCGGCCTCTGCGCTCTCATGTGAGTATAAATCAAATGAAATGTCCTAGAATTCTTCCTTCCACAGAGGGGTCCCGGAGCACCCCCTTGCCTCCCAGTGTTCTAGGGCCAGGGTCTGGGTCTCGGTGTGTCCATGAGACTCTGCAGCCCCCGTGACCACCAGCCCTTCCACACACTGTCCCTGCACCCCTTCCACTCTGGGACTCTGGCATTTGAGCCCTGCTTTGGTTCTGGTGTTTCCCTGCCAACTCCGCCTCCTCCTTTGCTGTCGCCTGCGCAGGTGAACGACTGGCAGCAGGACTGGGTCGCGTTCTACGCCCAGCAGCGCATTCAGCCGCAGATGGACATGGTGGAGAAGGGGTCTGGGGACAGGGAGGCCCTTGAGCTTTGGTCTGCTCTGCAGGTGAGCCGGGCCCCCATGCGCCCAGCGCCTACAGCATGTCCCCCTCGGCCCTGGTGTCGGGGAGGCACCATGGCAGGTGCCACCTCCGAGTCTGTTCTGGACGGTGAGTGGAGTCCCACCTGCCGCGCCTGCGCCTGGGTGTCAGCGCCGTGCCGCTGCCAGGTCGTGGAGCAGCACCTGGGGAAACATCTGCGTCCCTGGGCACGCGACGGTCACTTTGCTGAGGCCGACTTTCCTCCTGCAGTTGAAGATCCCTGACCTGTTCCGGGGTCTGGAGATTGTGCCGGCCTTACTCCACGGAGACCTCTGGGGAGGAAACGTCGCGGAAGACTCCTCTGGGCCTGTCATTTTTGATCCGGCCTCGTTCTACGGCCACTCGGAGTATGAGCTGGCGATCGCCGGCATGTTTGGGGGCTTCAGCAGCTCCTTTTACGGCGCCTACCATGGCAAGATCCCCAAGGCTCCGGGGTTCGAGAAGCGGCTGCAGCTGTATCAGCTCTTCCACTACTTGAACCACTGGAACCACTTTGGATCGGGGTATCGCGGGTCCTCCCTGAACGTCATGAGGAATCTCGTCAGATGAGCCGCCTGGCCCTGGAGGGAGGCCTCTCTGCGGAGCGTGCTGGGCCCGAGATCAGGCTCCAAGGTCCGCCCAGCGCCCTCCCATCCCTCCACGGGCTTTTCACGTGGCTGGAGCAGCTTAAGACCAACGCAGTCGCTCATTCCCAAGCCGTGTAAAGTACGTAACACCCCAGAGGAAAGGTTTTGTTGCCCTGAAGTTGTACACTTTGTCAGACCTCGTAGCTAGCTAGAGCTGCACCAGGGAGGGTGTGAACAGGGAGGCTGTGAAGCGTGGGGGGCGTTGAGCCACACACCTGCTCCAGAGGCGGAGCCACCGTGAGTGATCTCACGGGTGGGCAGGGTGTGCCTGGGCACCGTGCTCTGAGGACTCCTTTCCACCCCCTGCCCGCTCTCGTGTGCGGGAATGACTCTGAGCTGTGCCCAGGGACGCTGCCTGCTGGGGGAGGCTTGGGTCTGGATGCGAAACCACCTTACTGGGAGCCTCTGTAAGGACCAGTTCCAAACTTGAGCACGTTCCCTCCTCTTTCTGCATCACCTCTGGCCCCTGCCACAGGCTGAGCAGTCTGTGAACCAGCCCTGGAGGGACTGAGCTGACAGCCTGCGGTGTCCTTGGGAACATTTAGGAGCCTCGATGGCTCGTGTTGGGACCCCATCTCGTGTGCTATTTCTAAAGCTTGCTCCGTTGTCGTTCCTTTGCAACATGCGAAATGAACTCATATTTCCCCTCTCTCAGTATTGCAGTGATGAGAAATACTTCATGAATGGCATTGAGGCTAACATATCCTTTTGCATAAAAATTTGAATAAACTTTGGTTTCAATAATGCACGAGACTGTATTTCCCGCATTTATTGTAATTCATTGTTTATCTTAGTTGTTTGCCGGGAAACTTTAGTTACATATTGTGACAAAAGATAGGTACAACTGTTGTTTCTTTTTTTTTTTTTTATTTCAGCATGTTATGGGGTACAGATGATTAGGTTATGTATGATGCCCTTACCCTCCCTCCCCCCCAACTGTTGTTTCTTAAAAGAGCAATATTTATCTTGTCTTTTTGTTCAAATAAAAGAGAATAGCACGTAGTTTCAAAATAAGAGAAGGCGCAACCTAGGACTGTTTACAATGCTTGACTAGAGGAGCAGTTTAGCTGGCATTTTATTCATCCGTGAGATCTGGAAAACATTAAAGGAGGACGGAAGTAGCTGCAGAATTATGTTTGGGGGAGACGCCCCCGGGTGACCGTGCTGGGTCTGGCTCAGGGCTTGGACAACACTGGTGTTTGAGGGACACCCAGTGGAGTCCCTGAACTGGACTGAAGAGGATGGATTTTTTCTCTCTCGTTTGCTTGCTGACTCTGTGTTCCAGGTCACAGAATTCAGAGGCAGAACTGAGTTCCCGTAGAGCCCTAGTTTTTGTGGGACGGGAGAGAGGACTGTGAGTTGCTGGAGTTTGAAACCTTGTGATTCCCAGACGACCATTTGCCAGGAGTTTGGGTGGTTTACTCTGACCCTGGGGAAGCTGGTAACTGTTTCCAAGGGAAATGATGCCCTGAAACAGCTTCCCGACGAAGGGATGTACGCTGCCTCACTCCCCCGAGACAGTGCTCTACCGAGTAACACAAACTTGGTTTCCGGGATGGTTAGGGTTTTGGTGCTGCCAGACCTGGGGTCTTCCACAGAGATAATTATTCTACAAGCGAAACCATGTGAGAAGCACAGCCCAGGGTCCTTCTCCTCCGTGGTCAGTCACGTAGGAGCAGAGTGGATGGAGCGTGTATTTGCTCAGCCTTAGAGGATCTTAAAGAAGAGTCTCCGTTTCATATTCCTGTATCTCACAAGAGTCTTCGGTGCTAGAACCCGGTAGCCTCGACTAGCAAATGCCTGCGCCAGCGTTAGGAGCCACGAGCCACCCGTGAGGCACAGGCCTTCCAGCTCCCGGGAGCTGCTCACAGGCCCCTGCTGGGTTTGGAGCGCGCAAAGCAGCGTCCCGGGTGGTTGGTCACTGCCCGAGAAAGGGTGGCCTGGACTCTCTCTCCTGAAAGAACCCTCTAGAGGGCTGTGCCAGCCACAAGAATGGCCATTGCTGCCCCACGATGGGCCCCTCGATTCTGTGGGATGCCCAGGGCCCTGGGTGTCGTTCTGTGTCAGCACATTATGGTGACGAGAGCCAAGGCCAAAGCTTTCCCACAACACTAACAGGAAGGACGTTTCAGTCTTCCAGAAGAGATGGCCTTCTCTTCCTAGACAGCATCGCGGTGCTGCGTGTAGGAGAGGCCGCCAGAGAACAGCCGATACAGAAATGTGGGGAAGTGTCACAGAGGTGTGGCAGGCACTTAGCAGACAAATGTTACTGTGGTGTTTGTCAGCTTTTTAAACTTTGCAATTTTTTGCAATTGCTCATTTTAAAATATCTATTTTTGTGACTAATTTTGTATTCATCATCATACATGTTTTTTTATATATAATGTGTACATTTTTTCGTAAAGGTTGCTAAAATCAAATAAGCTTCAGACCTAAAGGCTCCTGGTCTACTCAGTTGATTTTGTGGATTATTCTGTTGTGTGAAAGACCACACACGTCACCGGGTGACGCGCTTCCCAGTGTGAAATGGTGCTGCTTTCTGGGCGGCTGAGCTGGAGGACGCGGGGGAGGCTCCATTTCAAGGTGTCTGTGTGCCGCGTCCTGACCACAGCCTCCGGTGCTCACAGAGCGGCTTAACATCAGAAATAAAGGGGAGGTTGGCTCTGGACACAGCTCCGAGACTCCGGGGCCAAGGCAAGAGCTGGAGGAGGTTCATTCCCTTTGGGGAGGCTGTGAGCGTCACTGGGCAGCCCCGGCTGGATGTCCAGGGAAGTGGCCGCTGCCCTGAGCTCCCATCGAGAGCCCTCGGTTCTCGTCTCTGGGATCTCAGGGGTAGGGTGGCTTTACTTGCTATTTCTTACTGAAATTGGGAATAGTATATCGAAACGCTTCATTATCTAACAGTGTTAGGGTATCAACCTTTCCACAGAAGTGAGTCTTTGGATAACTGAAATCGAGCCTTGCACCCCAAAATGTTTTATTAATATTTTGAATCTTTTTAATGAAAGTGCACCTAAAACACATGCTTTTCTATCTTCTTAAATAGAAGACCCTCCCCTTCCACCCACTCCTGTCCCAGGAACTGCACCACCCACCCAGGGCTGCCTGGATGTCGTAGCCCAGGGACAGGGTCGTAGCTCCCGGCACAGGGACAGGTCAAGGAGGGCCGTGGCAAAGCCGTGGGCAGAGCACGAGGAAAGCACGGGAGCAGTGCAGTGCCCAGCTCCAAGGGCCATGGCCATTCAGTCCCAAGGTGTGACCCTGTGGAGGACAGAGCCCAAGGTGACCTTGCTGGCAGGACGTCAGGGAACAAATGCCCTAACCTTGCCTTCCTCCCTTCTTCCCTTCTCCTCTTGGGCTCTCCTTTGGCCAAACCCAAGCAGGCCAGCTTGCTAACAGAGTGGCATAGGCAGCCCCAGGCAGAGAGGAGAGCAGGGCGGGAGTTGGGTATGAAAGAGAAGCAGCCGAAACTGGGCACAGCCCTCGGTCGAACATGTTGACCAAACGGCCATGCTGCTCCCCCTCCCTCAGCACCGGTCCGGGCCCCTCCCGAGGCTCCTGGGCCCCCCTGCTCTTGCCACCCAGCTTACCTGCTCAGGTGAAAACCTCCAGCCCTCTCCTGCCTTCTGGGTTCCCCCTCCAGTTTGCCGTTACACTGCACCACAAATCATCTAAGATACAGATTTTTAAAAACAGTGTTATCATTTACACGCCATAAAATTTATCCTTCTAATCTTTTAAGAAACTTAGGATCACTTCACTGTCCTGCCCCTGAATCTTCAATGGCTCCTGTGAGCTCCCAAAGTAAGGGCCTTCGTATCCCGGCACCTGCAGGATTTCTTCATGCACCTGTTCTCACTGAGTAGCCTGAGCACCCAGGTGGTTCTCGGCACGGGCTTTGAGAGGCAGGAGGAAAGCTCCAAGGGGCTATGGGAAGAGCGCAGAGAAAACCAACTCTACACCAAAGAGCTGGAATTCCAAAGACAGAGCAGAAAACAAGAACCGAAGACAATGTCCCAGGATTGGAGGACCCAGGTTTCCACCCTAAAATGACCCACGAGTCCTGTCCAGAGGACGACGGGAGACTCACCCAGCACCTCCCTGGGGAATTTTCACACACTGGTGACACAGAGAAGACCTCCAGAGAAGAGTTCCCACACAAAGAATAAGAATCAAAATGCCCTCAAACCCCTCAGCATCGAAGCCGGAGCAGCTCTGAGCGCGTGTGCTCTGATCCCGGCGTGGACTGCCACAGGCAGCCGAACCGCCAGCCAGGCGTGAAGACATTGACAGGTGCACGAGGGCTGCCTGCCCTGCCCCGAATCCTTTCTCTAGACGCAGTGGCAGGGCTTCCGCTGGGAGGGAAAGCGAGGGAGTGGCAGAGCCCTGCTGGCGAAGGCCACAGCAGCCTCCCGCGCTCCTGCTGTGGGCAGTGCCTTGCCGTCCCTGACCAGAGGTGGGTGCTCACCCCTGCCCTCGCCTGCGGCCTCGGCGACAGGAGCAGGAAGTGGTGCGTGTGCTTGGCTTGAGGCCAGTTCTCCTGGAACCCTCTCCCGGGCCTCCGTGCCCACGACACTGAGAGGCCACAGTCCTGTCCTGCTTGACAGCGACTGCAGAACCCGGGCTCCAGTCATCCCAGCCGAGCTGCCGGTCGACCCCACCCCGGAGAGCAGGCCAGCAGGCCACAGGGACACCAGTCCCAGAGGCGCTGCCTGTCTCAATCCGGCTGCTGTCTTAGCAGGACCCGAGACTCTGTGGGAAAAGACAATAGTCGGGACTGCAGAAAATCCGCTTGCTTGAGTAAAACCTCACCAGATGTTGGTCTGACCAAAGCGCGTTTGGCTCTATCTGCCCAGGGGCTGCCTGCCTCTTAGAAGAGATGTCTCTGACCTAAGTGGGTGCCTTATGGAGGACAAGAGCTGCAGGCCTGGCAGCTGGGAGGCCCAGAAGGAAAACCTCACAGGCAGCATGGTGTGGGGTGGCCTGCTGGGGGCCCTGCCCTGGGACCTTCTGGGGACTCTGTAGCCAGTCCTCTGCCTTTGGAGACTCCTGGGGCCTGGAGGCAGAAAGATACACTTTCAAGTCCCCTGGGCCACTTTCCAGCACTGGCACCTTGGGCAAGTTCTCTGTGCCTCAGTTTCCTTATCTGCAAGGCCAGAGCTAGGGCAGGCCCCTCACAGGATGGTGGTGGGGCTTAGCTGACTTCACATGGGCCCAGAATTGTAAAAGCTCCAATAAATGCTATTATTAGCCCCAAATGTCTCTTCCTAGGCCCTTATCTTGTGAAGGAAGCTCACTGAGGCTGAATAAAGAGCCATCACGGAGCCGGGCAGGTGCGTCATGGGTTAAGGAGGAGGGGAGGGAGGTGGTGGTGACTCACTTTGAATTGTCCTGTGTGCCTTGAAGCGCCCTTCCCACTTTGTCTCTAATCAGGGGCGCCCCAGCAGCTGCTATCTGCGGGGGCACCTGGTCCCCTGGGGCCTGGCCAGGGCGCGGCCCTGTCTGGACAGTGTGGGAACCCAGCCGGGCTGTGGCCGGTGCCCTGGGTCCCAGGGACAGCCCCGCTCTCGCTGAGCCTGGCCCGTGACCTGCTGGATGGGAGCTGGCCCGAGGGCCCCCCAGGGGAACCGGGGGCGCGAGGGTGGGGCGGAGGGAGGAGCGCGGGGCCGGGAGGGGAGCGCGGGGCGGGGAGCGCGGTGGGGCTGGAGGAGCGCGGGCGGGGAGTGC